GAGGGGGGGGGGGTGCCTCCATCACCCTGACTTCTGACTCTTTCATAACTGTCAACAGGTCTCTTGGCCAGGACACATGGATGCTCACCCACCGAGCCTCATGGTAGGAGTCTTGACGGCCTCCGTTCCCTCTCTCATCCTGTGAAGGTTTTGCCGCTTCCTCTGGATAACCACCCTGCTCACAGTGCCTGGGCCCAGACCCTGCCTTGGCCCCTTATTGTGGTCCTTGCTAGACTTTAAACCCCTATCTGGACTCAGGCCCCCCTGAGGTTCTCGAGGGGAGGGTTGTAGGTCCCTGGCCTGGGTCCCTTCCCTCATCTATACTGCCCCTCCCCTCGATTTTTGAGCCAAAGGGGCATAGTGACTGTCTCATCCATTCCTGTGGTGCACGTACTTGAGACACACTATGATGAGGCCCCAGAATGGGGCTGGCACCCAGGGGTCCCTGGAGTGCTGGTGTGTGTCCTTTCAGGAGGCTGTGACGTTTGGTGATGTGGCTGTGCACTTCTCGAAGGAGGAGTGGCAATGTCTGGACCCTGGCCAGAGGGCCCTCTACAAGGAGGTGATGCTGGAGAACCACAGCAGTGTGGCCGGACTAGGTGAGGCTGTACCTTGGGACCCCTGCCCCTGCATCATAGGTCAGCACCCACATAGCCAGGCCTCTGTCAGAGCAGGGGATATGGAGGCCGTGTGGTCAGGTCCTAACCCTGGGATTGGTCACAGTGAGGCAGGCAGGCTCCTACCTTGCTCCTGTCATGGAGTTTAATCCTCACAGGGTACTGGACTCCTGGGAGGTAATAAAGCCTCCTTTTAGCCTGGGCTAAGAGATTAACTTGTAAGAAATTGAATCCAAACTAGAAATAGTTTTTTTGCGATTTTTTTTTTTAACTCCTGGAGGAATTTATAAAGATGGAATTAATTGAACCTTTTAAGTTTTTGGTAGAACTCCCTGTAAAACACCTGGGCCCTAGGGGAAGCCCTTCCTTTTCTTTCATGCTTGATGGTCCGACAAGCTTGTGAATTTCTTCTTGTGCCACTTTTGTCATTTCTAGTTTTCCTACAAATTCATCTCTTCATTTGGGTTTCCGTTTTTTAGCACATATTTGTTCATAATACTCTCCGTCTTTTTTTTTTTTTAACTTTCACCCAAGGATGTTTTCCGTTGCTTTTCAGAGAGAGTGGAAGGGGGAGAGAGAGAAACATCGATGTGAGAGACACATCGATTGGCTGCCTCCCGCACAAGCCCTGATCAGGGCCAGGGATCAAGCCTGCAACCAAGGTACGTGCCCTTGGCCAGAATCAAACCTGAGACCCTTCAGTCCGCGGGCTGATGCTCTAGCCACTGAGCAAACCCGATAGGGCTCTTCATTTTTATTTTTAATCTCTGTTATGTTTGTAGCTGTTCCCTTATATAAGTTTTTGACCATATCTTGATTGGTTTTGCCCCAGGACTATTTATTCATCTCTTCAAAGAGCCAGCTCTTTGTTTTGCTCAACTTTTGAGGAGTGTCGTGTGGGGGTCCTAATTCTCTAGTTCCCTGAATCCTGCCTGTCTTTATTCATTTTTTTCCTTTGTGTTTGCTGTGTTGTTTCCAGTTTCTTGAATTTAATGGTTACCTCATATGTGTTCTACTGTACTTATTTCCAGGAAATGTATTTAAAAATGTAAACTATCTTTACATACTGCTTCAGCTGCATCCTACAAATTTTGACTGAGTAAATACAGCTCTCAGTTAGTAATTCATTACTGGATCTCCAAGTGGCTAATTGTTTTGAACTGCCTGTTGTGGTTACTTTCATGTCCCATTGCGTTTCGGTGGTTCTGTGGACTGTACATGACACCTTCAAGGCTAGCTCAAGGATGTTTCTCTGAGTGCTCCATGTATGCTTGGAGAGAACACCTGTTTCCTGCTCAGTGTGGGGTCCTACCCTTCTCCACCCCCTGGCCAGAAATCTGAGGGAATCTCCAACCACAGGGCCCTGGGATGGGCTGGGAGCCCGCTACACTGCCACCCCACAGCATGGGGCTGGTGGTTCTGGAAGAAGGGTGCCAGGTGGGTGCCCACAGGCCTCCACCACTCCCTGGGCTGCCTTGGCCCCCTTGCTTTGTGAAGGGATGCAAGACTGGGGGCAGCTTGGTAAGGCTTAGACCTCATTGCCTTCTGATTTGAAGTCTGTTTCATTCCGTTTTACTTTTGTTCTTTCTTTTTACTTCTGTTTTTAAACTTTTTTACTTATTGATTGATTTTTAGAGAGAGAGAGGGAAAACATCAATTTGTTGTTCCACATATTTTTGCATTCGTTGGTTGATTTTTTTTTTTTTAATTATTTTTTTAATCCTCACCTGGGGACATTTTTTCCATTGCTTTTTCAGAGAGTGGAAGGGGGAGAGAGAGAAATATCAATGTGAGACAGACACATCAATTGGCTGCCGACCAGGGCTGGGGATTGAGCCTGCAACTGAGGTACATGCCCTTGGCTTGAATCAAACCCGGGACCCTAACCACTGAGCAAAACCGGCTAGGGCCATTGGTTTATTCTTGTATGTACCCTGACCAAGGATCAAACCTGCAACCTTGGCATATCGGGATGATGCTCTAACCAAGTCAGCTACCCATCCAGGGTGGTTTTGTTTTTTAATATGTTTTTATGGATTTCAGCGAGAGTAATGGAGAGGGAGAGAGAGAGAGAAACATCAGTGGTGAGAGAGAGTCATTGATTGGCTGCCTCCTGCAAGCCCCCTACTGGGGATCGAGCGTGAAACCTGGGCATGTGCCCTGACCAGGAATCAAACCGCGATCTCCTGGATCATGGGTCTATGCTCAACCTCTAAGCCACACTGACGGGGCTGGGGTTTTTTGGTTTTTTTAAAGTGAGTTTATTTGAGCCAAACTGATGACATATGCTGAGAAGCAAGATCTCAAATGCTCCAGTTTTGTTTCTTAATCATCCCTAACTCTTGGAACATACCTGCCCACTGAACTGAGGGGTGTGCTGGCAATGCCTGGCTTTTTTCTTCTAGAGGCAGAGCAGCCTCTTCTTGACAAACTCTTGAGTGACAGGGTCCCCTGGGGATCTTGGCCTTGAAACAGAAGGGGATTGGCTGGGAGTCCAGGCATTCCTTGCTGTCCAGCCTCAGGAGCTGTGCCCCAGTGCCCAGATCCTTACCCTCTGATACTCCCTTCAGAGACTGCCTGCACCCCTGCAGCCTCCCACCCCTTTACTCCTGGAAACCAGAGGGCTATGAGCCCTGAGCTGCATTCCCAGCAACACCAATGTGGTTTCCTTTGTCACCTTGACAGCAGGATTTCTTCTCTTCAAGCCTGAGCTGATCTCCCGGCTGGAGCAGGGGCAAGAGCCATGGGTCCTCGATCTGCAGGGAACAGAGGGGAGAGAGGCACCAAGGACCCCCCAGAGAGGTGAGGCTTGGTCCTTTGGCACAGAACCTGTGCCTGGGAAGGCAGACCCCAGGGATTAGCAAGTGAGTTTGTTTTTAAACTACGTTTTATTCAGTTTCTAATCTTACCAGTACTCTTATTAAGCAAAGGTACAAACATGGATGCAAGGGAAGCAGTAAGCTTGGTTCTGAGCAGCCTCTGAGGTGAACGTCACGTCACTGGGACCATTATGCTCCCTCCAAAACTTCTTGAGATCCTGGGTGACTGCAGCCTCTCAGGTCAGGCTCCCGGGCTACTATAACAAAGCACCACAGACCAGAATCTTGAACCAACAAAGGTTATTGTCTCACAGTCCTGGTGCCAAAGGTACAAAATCAAGGCATCAGCAGGGTTGTAACCCCTCTGAAACCTATAGGGGAGGATCCTCCCTGCCTCTTCCAGCTTCTCATGGCCCCAGGTGTTTTTTAGCTTGTGGCTGTATCACCCCAGTCCTCTGTGTCACAGCACGTCCTTCCCGTGTCTGTCTTTCCAAGGACACCAGTCCTATTAGATTAGGGCCCTCCGTACTTCAGTGTGACCTCATCTTAACTAACTCCATCTCCATGGTCCTGTTTATTTTTTAAATTTTTTTTTTAATCCTTACCCAAGGATATGTTTTCCATTGCTTTTCAGAGAGAGTGGAAGAGAGAGAGAGAGACATCAGTGGGAGAGGGACATATCAATTGGTTGCCTCCCGCTTGAGTTCCAACCGGGGCTGAGGATTGAGCTTGCAACTGAAGTATGTGCCCTTGACCAGAATCAAACCTGGGACCCCTTAGTCTGTGGACCAGCGTTCTAACCACTGAGCCAAACTGACGAGGGCTGCGGTCCTGTTTATAAATAAGTTTGTATTCTGAGGTCCTGGGCTACAGCTTCAGCACACCTTTTTTGGGCACAATCAGCTCATAACAGGGGCCTTTCTGTTCAAGCTCCTTTCTGACCCTTCTCAGGAAGAAGAAAAAGGGACAGACTGGCCTGGTTAAAATCCAGCCCCCATGAAACATTTCCAAGGTGGAGGGAGATTTTAAAGAGGGCACCGTGGCAGGAGAGCCAGCTGGGGTCAGCAGAGCTCCTTAGTCAGTGGTTCACATGCAGCGGATGGCCTTCCTAGTGGTTAGGTGACAGTGTGATGAGACCTAGAGCCGCTCACGGACCTGAGTGCACAGGACAGAGGACAGCCTTGTGGATGAAAATTTGTGGAACATGTTAGAAAATGTAAATGCCCCAGATGTGATTTTATTGTTTGGTGTAGCTGATATCCCCGGATCCTCCTGGTGGCGGAAGACGGCAGGCCTGCAGCTGCCCCCATCATAGCCACCCTTGTACTAGGACTCGAGGCCCCCTGGGGGCTCCATAGGCAGTGTCATAGTTGCAGTGGTGAAGACAGAATTTAGTCTGGGTGATGACTGCAGTAGGTCAGAGTTTACTGACAGCTAACTTAGCTTCCACTTGGAGGTGATGGAGCAGGCAGGGGGCATGATGGATCACAAAAGGGTAAGGGTGGGTCCACGTGATACCAACTGGACTTGCTGACCAACCCTGCCCTCAGTCATTGGCATCCTCCAGTTTTCTCCGGCAGGTGCTTTTAGGGGGTTGGAGTCATCCTAGGGATGTGGCCTTGAGCTCTATTAGAAGCCACGCTAGTGTTTTGTTCTTATACACCAAGAGGGAGGTCTGGTTGAGCAAAGCTCAGAGGAGCCTGGCTGGGCTTGTCAGGAGAGGGTCTTTGTCAGAGGAACTGTCACTGGTAAGTGGGAACAGGAGGAGATGGGCTGTACTGTGTGCAAGTGTCATATGTAGGCCTGAAGGGAGGGAACGGGTACATGTTGAGCCAGACAGGAGGCCACTGGTTATGGGAGGCTCTTGCTGGGCATGTAGCATGTAGTGAGGTGAGACCTTTGTAATGTAACTTACTTACAGATTTTGCTGCAGGAAAGGGGGAAGTGGACTCCAGGGCAGCTGGGTAAGTTTGCAGTGTCCTCATCCAGCAGCAGCACTGTGGCTGTTAACCACAGCAGGAGGCCCAGGACTCATGGCTGGCCTGGCAGTGCAGGCATCCTTAACTCCTCTGTTATCGCTGTTCATGGAGGCCTCTGCCTTGAAGTAACAGGCAGAGTATAGCAGTACTTGTCAGTTTTCTCATCTTTATGGCCACTCCAGCGTTGTTTTTGCAGAGAAAGAGAACCAGTGAGGTGCATGCAGGAGATATTCCACATCTTAAGGGCACAGAGATGTTGAAAGGGTGTGTGTTTGGGGAAACAGACCTGGGTTCATTCCTGAGTCTCTCATTAGCTGGGTGACCGTGGGTGAGTTACTTAACCTCCCTGAGCCACAAGACCCTTATCCACTACTGATTTCACTGGGTGGTCATGAAGACTAATGGAGGAGGGAGCAGGAACTGTCCTTGTACACAGATGCTCAGGGTAAGCAACCCCTTCCATACTCCAGGACTGACAGAGAGATGGGTCACTGTAGCTGGAGACAGCACTGATGTGAGGAACCAGTGGAACCCTGTCACTGGGCCCTGAGTTTCACTGGGGGACAGCACTGGGCTGGTGATGGCCCTGGATGTCATTAGGGACAGTGGGGTTTGACTTTAGCAAAGGTACTTGGATTGCAGGGTAAGAAGGAGGTAGATGCTTATGTGGAGAGTCCAGAGGGAAAGTGGATGTCAGGAAAGCCTGTGGGGGCAGGTGGGGTAGCCAGACCCCCCTGCCAGTAATCCACAGGAAGGAGAAGTCCGTATGGGGTGAGGGGCAGGCTGGCAAGGGACACAGGTGCGAGTTGGAAGGAGTAGCCTGTTGGCTGCTGGAGCAAGCAGGGTTCTGGCCTTGAGTCCCACTCAGAAGCCCAACCAGGGGACAGGCCAGTGCTCAGCCCTTCCGCCTCACCCTTGTACGCCTTTCAGTAGCTCTCCTGCCTTGTCTTAAAGACACCTGCCCATCCCTCTGTTTATAGTTTAAAATCCCTCTTTCCTCCTCACTACCACCTCTGACATCTCAGCGTCTTGCTAAACCTCCAACCCTCTCAGGCTCACTTTCTTCTGTGTGGACTTTTCCTTGCACCATTTCCCCACAGAGCGAACCTCTGCTGACATAGCCCCCTCGTGGGAGGGTGGCTGTTGGCACTCACCCGAGTACACTGTGGTTGAATGAATGTGTAAAGCAAAAAGTAGAATGAAACCAAATTTTGAGAACTGTCAAAGGTGTCGAGTTTTTTTGTGTTTGTTTTTAAGTATATCTTTATTGACTTCAGAGAGAGGAAAGGAGAGCGGGGGAGAGAGAGAGAGAGAAACATCAATGATGAGTCATTGATCGGCTGCCTCCTGCATGACCCCTACTGGGGATCAGGCCTGCAACCCGGGCATGTGCCCTGACCAGGAATCGAACTGCAATCTCCTGTATTATAAGTCAGTGCTCAACTGCTGAGCCACACCGGCCAGGCAAAGGTGTCAGGTTTTCATAGTGTCTTTGCATGTGGGTGTCCTGGGAGGGAGCTCAGTTCCTAGTGATCACCCCCACCCCAGCCTCTGTCCTTTCTCTGAGTTCAGGAGGAGCCTTATCCTGCCTGTGTGTTTCAGATTGTATGATAAGCACTGATGGTGAGCAGGCCAGTGAAGATATGCACATGCTGAAATCGGAGTCCCTGGCCGCAGTGGTCAAAACCTCCCCTCAGGATTCCCCTCAGAGTCCTGGCTTTGGAGACACTTCTGATTCTGAGGTCTGGCCAGAGAGAAAGCCGAGCTCCCTATTCCAGAAACACCACTTGCATGTGGGAACTGTGGCTCCCAGGAAGACCTCTGCCAAGGAGGATGTGCAGGGCCACAGTGGCCTGGGTTGTCAGCCTGAGAGAATTCAGGGGGTTGCTGCAGACAGGCTATCCCAAAGGTGCGATGCATGTGGCAGGAGTTTCAGATACACAGCTCTGCCTCAGGAAGTCAGTGTACAGAAGAAACCTAATAGATGTCAAGAGTGCCAGAAAAAGTTATCTGATTGCTTACAGGAGAAGCAACAAAATAACTGCCATGGAGAGAAGCCGTATGAGTGTGAGGAATGTGGGAAAGTCTTCAGGTTGTGCTCACAGCTTAATCAGCATCAGAGAATCCACACTGGAGAGAAACCATTCAAATGCATCGAGTGTGGAAAAGCTTTTCGCCTGAGCTCAAAACTTATTCAGCATCAAAGAATTCACACTGGAGAGAAGCCCTATAGGTGTGAGGAGTGTGGGAAAGCCTTTGGTCAGAGCTCCAGCCTCATCCACCATCAGAGGGTGCACACGGGAGAGAGGCCCTATGGCTGTCATGAGTGTGGGAAGGCCTTCAGCCAGCAGTCTCAGCTGGTCAGACACCAGAGGACTCACACTGGAGAGAGGCCCTACTTGTGCCAGGAGTGTGGGAAGGCCTTCAGCCAGAGTTCAACCCTGTCTCAGCACCAGCGGATGCATACTGGGGAGAAGCCTCCAGTTCCAAGGCCCATGGATGGTGCTAGCCTTGTTGCCCACCAGAGAATCCACGCTTCAGAGAAACCATTTAAGTGTGACGAGTGTGGGAAGGCTTTCAGGTGGGTCTCTCGCCTTAGTCAGCATCAGCTGACTCACACTGGAGAGAAACCGTATAAGTGCAACAAATGTGCGAAAGCTTTTGGTTGTAGCTCACGGCTTATTCGTCACCAAAGAACTCACACTGGAGAAAAACCATTCAAATGTGATGAGTGTGGGAAGGGTTTTGTCCAGGGCTCACACCTGATTCAGCACCAGAGAATTCACACAGGAGAGAAACCCTATGAGTGCAGTGACTGTGGAAAAGCCTTCAGCCAAAGCTCTAGCCTCATTTACCATCAGAGGATCCACAAGGGAGAGAAACCCTACGAGTGCCTGGAATGTGGAAAAGCCTTCAGTATGAGCACACAGCTCACAATCCATCAGAGGGTTCACACTGGTGAGAGGCCATATAAGTGTGGTGAGTGCGGGAAAGCGTTCAGTCAGAACTCAACCCTTTTCCAACACCAGATAATTCATGCTGGAGTGAAACCCTATGGATGCAGTGAGTGTGGGAAAGCCTTCAGTCGGAGTTCGTACCTTATTGAGCACCAGAGGATTCACACACGAGCCCAGTGGTACCACGAATATGGGGGCACCCTGGAGGGTTCTACTCACGTGATTCGTAAAAAAGTTAACACTGTAAAGAAACTACACAAATGTAATGAATGTGAGAAAATATTCAGATGGCGCTCACACCTCATTATACATCAGAGGATTCATACCGGAGAGAAACCTTATAAATGTAACGAATGTGGCAAAGCCTTTAATCGGAGCTCAAGACTCACTCAGCATCAGAAGATTCACATGGGATAGACCACTCACCTCTGTAAATGTGTGTAAATGGGAATAAACCCACAGCCTTAACCTACTTATTTTATGTGGGATTATTGATCCTGACAAGTTAACAATGTTGGTAAAGATTTAGAATTGCTCTCTTCAGACTATCCAAGTTCATACAAAGTGTGTGTTTATTTGCTGGAATTTTGACCTTATCCCACTCAGTAAAGTCTGTGTCCCTTGCATCAGGGTGGCCACGTGTAGCATTTTGATTACACAGGGGGAATACCCCAGGTTCAGCAGCTGAGGCCTAAGACGCCCTGTGAGCTCTGCCAGACGAAATGCTCAGTGTCTGAAGCATGAGTTACTCAGACTGGCTTCAATAAGGATGTGTGAGCTCGATTGCAGGGAAGTCCAGAAGAGGAGTGTCTGGGATTCCCTTCTGATTTCACCTGACTCCTTTTATTTAAACCACTTTCCCCATCAGCAGCCCAGGCATGCAGCCCACCCAGGGTCAACTTGAGTTTCCACATGGGTCAGCCGGTCTGGCTAATCTGACCGACAGGCTGGGACCATCCATGTTCATTCACTGTCTCACAGAGCATCTAATTAAGGCCTGGAGGCCACTGGATAAGGCAGACTTGCAGCATTGACCCCAGCCCTGTCCAGGATCCTGGGTTCACCAGCCATGAATGAGTCCAGGGGCCAGGAGTCCTGTTCAGGCAGGCTGTTACCTAGGGCCACTCATTTGAGACCTGTTGACCTTTGGTGCTATTGCCACAATCTGGCAATATTGAGACCCCCATCCCAGTGGAGAGGCCCATTTCTCCTACATGTGGACAGGTAGCCCAGAGGGACACAGGTCACTTCAGGATCTGTTGCTACACTTGATTTGGGTCACCATCACACTGGTTTGGTCAAGCCCATAGCCAGGTCCCCAGGACCTTGCTGCTTTCTTCAGTGTGCATAGCATAGCCTGTAGCAGGCAATGGATTTGTGTCAGGTGAAGAAAGTGCTTGCTGGTCCCTGTGTTGGCACCAGGAGGTTCCTGAGCTTTCTAGCGGTGGTGGGAGCAGCAGAGTTCAAGATGATTGAGTTTATGTGAGTTTGTGTTTCCAGCACATGGGCGGAGCCAGTCAGCCTAATCACCAGCTGCTGCTGCTTACCCAGCACAGTGTGTGTGTGACATGTCTCCCACCTGGTGCCAGGAGACCATGAAATCAGTGTGCCCACCTCTCCAGGTGTCCCTGTTCCACCCAGAACTCATGTCTGAGTCAGTGCCAGAGGACCAGGGACTTTTCAGTACATTGTGCAGAGGTTATGCTCATTGTGTCCCTGCCATGGCTGCTGTGCTCAACCAGGTCACTGCTGGCACATTTGGACAGGTGGGCCCAATCTGAAAAGGGCCATAAATATTTTAGGTCACCCAACGAGACAACAGCCAAGGTCTTGAGTGGACAGGGCACACTCTTGCCATCTGCTGGCACTGGGTACTGTTGTGTGCTCTCCATTGGACCCCCACCTCCCTCACCTCCTGGGTAATGAGGGACAAAGGTGTGGGGGTTATATGGACTCTCCCAGACTCCATCCTGGGCATGATACTCTTTTCTTTCCCCTAACAGTAACTGCAGGCTAGACAAGGCCAGAGACTCCCACCTTAAATCTGCTTCAATACCTGAGTCTCTGGACAGTAGTGGTCCTGGATCAGGGGCTGGTGAACTATGGCCTATGGGCCAAACCCAGTCTGCAGCCTGCTTTTGTGTGGTGCGTTAACCAAACACAGGCCATTAGATTGGGTGGCTTGAATGCCTCAGTACCTACCAAGCAGACCAGAAGCTTAGCCAGTCCATGTAAGTGCATCTGTCACAGCCAACAGGCTTCCCAAATAAGGCAACTGCTTGAGCTGTAGCCAAACGATTTCCATGCTTTGCTTGTACAACTCTATGAAAACCTCTCTGGCTCCCCTCCACAGAGCGCTCGGTTTGGCACTGCCTGGTTCCAATCCATGTTTGCTCAAGTAAACTCTGAAATTTTAATATGCCTCACTTTACCTTTTAGCAGAGCTGAGAATGGGTTTTTACATTTTTAAGTGGCTTGGAAAACAAAAGACATTTTGTGACATTTGAAAATTATATCGAAGTTAAATTTCATTGTGACCAAATAAAGTTTACTGGAACACAGCCAGCCTAACTGCTTTCTCGTTACAAGAGCCAAGTCTACCACACGGCCTGTGTCGCCTCGTTAAAATCCTTATGCTCTCCAACCTTTGAGAAATTATTTTTCTTCTCAACTGTTAGTGTGGTTCGTTCACTAAAATGTCCCAATACAACTGAGAATTCATAGCAATAATCCCAAGTCCTACACTCCAGTCAAAAACACCCAGCTGCAGAAGTAGAAGAGGAGGAGTCTCTTAGCTGCGTCCATGTGAAAAAGATGTGTCACCAGTGGGCCCCTGGGCCAGACACTTTCAATTCAAACTACTGTGCAGTTAATGAGGTTCCAGGAACACATGAAAAGTACATGTGCTGGGAGCTCCTGCAGAAAAGAGGGGTCATGGGCTACTATGGGGCCGTGCAAGTTTTGGAATATTCTGCTCTACTTTCAAGCTGTATTTCCCAATTTGGGATTCAGTAAATATAATAAACTCATTTTAAGGATTTCCAGTTTGTTTCAGAGTAGGTTTTAAAATACTTTGAACTTCTCTTTTGGAGTTAATAAATTAAACCTGTAATTTTGAGCTGAAGTTGCTTTCATTGTCAATTATTAAACTGTGATTTATGAAATTGTAACTTGTGAGGTTTGTGGGAGCTTCACAAAGTGTTGGGGGGGAGGGCAGACCCCTGTATCCCCAGTGCATGTGACTTGCACTCACAGCCCAGGAAATGTTTGTTGAATGAATAAATGATGCATTTGGGAAGTATCCAGGCTTTGAAGTCAAGAAGTCAGAGACCCACATAAGAGAAACTGCCAAGAGCTTCCACAGAGATCTAAAGGTCAACATGACTGAATGGTAATTTCCCAGGTGCATCGTTCTCTGTGCAAGGTCTGTGCCAGCCTGGGGACAAAGGTAGACAAGGCCAGCCTCTGCCCTCAAGTCCAGGCCTATGGTGTCCTATCACAAACAAGGGTAGACAGTCCCTCTGCAGCCTGGGGGAATCCTGTGGGAGTATAGGGTCTTGCCTGATGAGAGTTGGGCCAAGGGAGGTGTAGCAGTTAGAGCTGCCGCCCACCTGCCACCTGGTTTTGTACGGTTCTGGAGCTAAGAATACGTTTTGTTTTTAAATTTGATTTGAGAGAAGGGAGAGAGAAACACTGATTTGTTGGTCAGCTTATTTATGCATTCTTGTATGTGCTCTGAGGGGGTTGAACCAGCAACCTTGGTGTATCAGGAATATGCTCTAACCAATTAAGCTACCTGGCCAGGGCCAAGAATTGTTTTTAAATGGTTGAAAAGAAGTACTTGTGACACATGAAATGAAAATTTCAATGCCTGTAAAAAAATTTTATTGGAATGTAATCACATCCATTTATTAACATATCTCTGCTTTCAAGCTATGGTGCCAGAGCTTACAGAACCCCTATGACCTGGGTAGCTAAAATACTCCATCTGGTCCTTTATAAAAATGTTCTCCAAGCCTTGAGCTAGAGGACGTGTGAGAAGGGCTACCCTGCTGGCCTACAAGTCTGTGCTACCTGCTCCCAGCCTTCTGGACAGAGGCCCTTTGGAAGAAGTGTTGCCCCAGAGCTGCTGTGGGAGGGGCAGCAGTCAGGGCCACCATGTCCCATATACGAAGGATGGAGAACAGTGACCTGACCTGCTGTTCCTAACCAGATGACAAATGGCCTAAACCACCTCCTAGTGAGGGGAGGGGGAGCTGGTGGGTGAGCAGAGCACTATGCCCCCACTTACCTGGAAACTGGTGAGGGCAGAGATGGGAGCAGATGGCATGTGACCAGAAGTTGTGCCTCAAAAAGGCCTGGACCCCCTCCCCCAAGTCTGCTGACCCTCTTCAGACCCTCCAGGGGCCCTTGGTGTGTACTACTAGAGTAGATATACCAACACAGCCGTGGAGACAGCCAGGAAACCCCAGCTGGGTGCACAAGGGTTCCCTGGCCTGGCAGGCAGAGAAAGGGTATGAAAATCCCAGTGCTTACTTGTCACCCAATGCCTGCAGCTTCAAGCCTGTCTGCCCACCCCCTACTGCAGGGGCTGCTGAGAGGTTTGAGGTGGGTTCTGAGTGACAACTCCATACTCCTCCCTTGGGTCTGTAACACCAGGGTGGCCTGGAAGGCACCTTTCCTCACTGCCACCAAGTGTATGACTTAGAACCATGGAGTCCCAGCCACAAGGCCCAACCATGGAAGTGGAGCTTGGAGCATCCTGCTGAGGCACACAGGCCACGCTCAGACTCCAGGTTTCCATTCCTAATTGCACTGGACACTGTGGTAATCTTGCACACCAAATGCCCCCAAGTCTCAGTGGCTTCCAACTCTAAACATGCCATCCCCACTCTGGAACCCAGCAGCCCAAGCTGCCCCGCACACCCACCCTTGAGGTGCTGGGAAAGGCCCCTGATTCTTGCTGTACTTAACACAGCACCTAATGTGATCCTTTTAAAACAGCTGTTAGGTCAGGGAATGCCCTCAGTACCCCTCACTCCTCTACCTCACTTGCCCTCTGCCCAGAGGTCCCACTTGGATCACTCTGTTCCCTTGCCTCTTTCAAGTCTCTGCTCACATACCAGTCTTCCAGGAGGTGCACCCTATAACCCAATGTAAAATGACAGCCCAGTTCTTCCATAGCCATGCCTCCCATCACCTGGACACGCCTACTTTCTGCATCATTTACCATCCACTAACAAGCTGCACCAGTTATTTGTTGTTCTGTGTTCTGTAATGTCTTCCCCTCCTCTCTACAATGTCAGCTCCATGAATTCAGGGATTTAAGACAGGAGAACGAAATATCCCCACTGAACCACAGGGTTCACAGGAGCAAATGAGCAGAGCGCTCAGATGCTACATGGGGCCCAGCTAAATGAACTCGGCATCTACACAAAGGCCTTGGACTGGACCCCAGAAAGACCAGACCAGATGGCCACCCTAGAGCAGCAGATCCCCTTACCCAGCAACAACAGGGGAGGGGTGTGCAGGGTAACACTACCAAGAAAGACATGTTTTTTATCATTGCTTTACTCCCAAATAAAGGAAAAACACTGCTAACTTTTTCAGAGGATGATGTGGTTGCATTCACACACTGTCACTTAACTGCCTCCTAGGCAGGGTGGGCTTTGCTTTGGAGATGTCGGAGCAGCCGTCCCCAGGTGACCAGAGCAACTGGAAGTGCAGGTCAGTCCTGCAGTCTGTGCTCACATTTCTTCTCCAGGTCGGCCATCTCCTTCAGCACCAGGGCGACGCTGTACCGGAGCTCCTGGAACTTCGCTGTGGGGACCTCAAAGCGGTGTGCTGACCCATCCGAAAGTGTCAGCTGCATCAGGATACTTGGCTGTAGGGAGCGGGCCAGGGCGCTGGTGGAGATTGCCACATCCACCCTCCACCTAAAGTTGGCAATGTGGGGCAGCCAAGCCCCCTGCTGCCTGGCCACAGAGTCAAGAAGCCGCTGGCTCCCAAACACCACATCAGCCAACTCCACGACCAGGTCTTGGGGGATGCAGAGCTCCTGGAGCTGGTCCTTGAAGGCTTCGGGCTTCAGGCTCAAGGGGGGCAGCCGGAAGGCCTGCCGGAGCAGTGTGTGGGTGCCTGCAAGCAGGGCACCCAGCCGCTCTTCTGATAGGTGTGCGCCAGCCCCGAGGCACTGCACAGCTTCACGGCAGTCCTCTCCCTGCAGGCTGCTGACCACCAGCTTCAACAATTTTCTGAATGTGCCTCTGTCCAGGTCCCCCAGGATCCGGGGCATTGCTGCCACCTCTGGGGGGAGCTGGGCCCCCAGGAAACTCACCTGGCCGCTGTGACTGACACCAGGGTGATGCAGGTATGGAGCTGCAGCCCCCGCGGCACACATTGCTGCTTCCTCCTCTCTGATCAACCAGCCCAGAGGCAGGTCCCAGCTGCAACTGCCTGGAGGGAGTGGAGAGAAGCCAATGACTTCCCATGTCCTTTGGGTCAGTGACTGAGAACTAACCTGGTTTCCACCTTCAATACAGTGACAGTGTGAACCACTGATGACAGTCTATGTGATGGGAGGGATACCTGGGTGCAGGTAGTCCCAGGAAAAGGGGAGGAGGAAGTTAAAAGGGAAACGAGATAGGGAGAGGTGAATAAGCAAACAGGAGAGCAGCCACCAGCCCAGAGGGAGGGGCCGACAGAGACGGACCCTGTTCGCGTCCTTCCCTGAGCTCGCCCCTGCGTCCTGGGCACCTAACATGCGCACGAGCCGCGGTCAGCGTCCAGCGGCCGCGCCCCAAGCTGCATCGACACCGCGGGCCGGAGCGCTACTGTCGGGAACAGGCCTCCAGTCTGCAGAGCTACCCGGATGCTAAGCAACCCCCTCCCGGTAAGGGCGACCCCAACCACCCCGCCCCCAGACCAGAGCCGCCCCCCACCTGGCGCGCGCGCCGTCTAAAGCGGAACAGTCCGACCGAGAGCAGCGGCGCGGCCCGAGGCGGGGTCTGGTACCGGGGCGACCCAGGGACACTTCCGGGAAGCTCTAGGAAGCGGGAGGACCTGGCCCTCTGTGATCCGCGGGCCCGGGAGAGTTGCCCTTTCCACACAGATCAGGAAATGCAGACAAGTTCTTTTCTCTCTAAGCAAGAGAAAAGAAAAGAAGGGGTTGTACAGGCCTGGCCCGGGGATGGAGAGGCGCTCAAACAGCAACGCCCGGGCCTGGAGCGGAGAGTGGGCTCGATGCCTGGAGACCAGCCGGTCCGCCCGGCGGCCCGGCCACAGGCCCCCTCTCGGGCGACCCTCTCCTCAGCCGACCACCGACGGCGAGAGCCCTCTGTGGTCCTAGAGCAGCCCCGGAAGTGCCGGGCAAGACCGCCGCGGCCGTTTCCGGCACCCGCGGCCTTTGACGGGGAGACGCAG